GCTGTGCACTCACCCCACATGCCCTTATGATTGGTAACTATGCACTAACGCCAATCGCAACAGACTGCCTCCACGTCCTTGAACACATCTTGTTTTTGCTAACCCACACCATGTGCGCTATCAGAACTTTCTCAATGGCTATTCTTAGCTGTCTTTTCCAGCAGCCTGTTCAGTTATGCTGCTTTGCTTAAGCGGCCTAGTCGTGCTAATTCTCAAGCTACATCGACCCCAACACCTGTGGAGAACCCGTGGTGGCAGCCAGGCCAGTGCCAGTTCCACAGAGCCTGGCACAGGACGGGGACCGGGGACCAGGGACCAGCTCCCTGCTGGGCTCTCGCCTCTGCTGCACTTCCCACTGGAAACAGGGGCTGTTCTTTGGGAATAGCCAGCAGCCACTGCCGTCCCATACCCCAAGTGGAGAGGAACCACAGGACCCTGCAGCGGGGTGAGCAGCATCGGGGGGAACAGAGGAGCCCAGGGGCTGCAGCAGGGCTGTGGGAGACCAGCTTTGGGGGTGAGAGCTGTGGGGTCGGCCCCGGTGCTCTCCCTTGCTGCAGCGGGACGGGGGCTGAATCCAGGTGATATTCCCTGCTCACACTCCCTGGGGGCTCTGCCCGCTGGCACGGGGGGCCCGGCCTCGCCGGGATTTCTATGGAAACCTGGGTACCAAACAGGGTGGAATAGCTCAAACCATCTGTTCTTCCCCTACTTATAAGCTCGGTAAGAGGAGCGTGTTTCGCAATGACATCACTACAAACGCTCTCCTTTTATTCATCGCGCGGCCATCTGTGATGGTTTCCTCATGTGCCAAACATGCCAGCGGGTGCTGAGGGATGGGCAGGGGGATGCAGCCACCCGCTCACCCAGGTTTCATTCCCCCCTTTGGAAAGCAGGTCTGGCCCCGCGGAGGCTTCCTTGTCCCCTTCCCGATGCATCTGCAGAGCAGCCGTCAGAGTTAGCTGGAAGAAATGAAGGGCTTGAAGGTAAAAACTGAAGCACAATGCGAGGCTAAACTTCTCTGCAGGCACTGTGGAGGATCTGCTGTGGGCTCTCACTGGCAGAAATAGGTGCTGCTAGATAGGTGGTGGGAACCAGGCTTTCTTTTGCAAATCGGGAGTGCCGGTGATGGGGCCGTGGCCCGAGATTTGGGTGCTGGGGGAGGCAGGGTTGGGGAATACGGCTCGATTGTGGACACGGGTAGTGGTGGATCTAGCTGCTACAACTTCAGCACTTCCCTGTGAGGTGGTTTCTCAGCTAGAAGTCACCTTCCCCCAGCTGGGGACGTGAGCACTCCTGCTCCACTCCTGGGCAACGTCAGCTGGGTCCGTTCATGTCCCCAGCATGGATGGGTTTGGTTCTGACTCACGTGGTCCTCGCAGTCATGCTGGGTGGTAAAAGAGGTGACAACCCGCTGTCACCTGCCCTGCCCTGCTGCCGGAGCTCTGCACCCTGTCCTGGAATGGAGGTGCTGGCTGCGGCTCAGCTGCTGTGGTCAACAGGCACTGCTTTCGGTCACTGCTAACACCTCCTCACCCCGGGGAGCGGTGGTAGTGTGGAGGGGGGTTACCAAAGAGCAAAGCACCCAGCAGACTTTGCTCCAAAGCACATCAGAAGCGCTTACGGAGTTGGTTTGCGTGGCTCAGAGTTTTGGATGGTAATGAATATCTTAGGTGGTGGCGAAGAGCTGGAGGTGGTGACGCCATTAACCCACTCCCCCGTGCCCAGCTCCGCGGCCTACAGTTGCCGGTCGCGTTTGCTCAAGTGACCAAGCTCTCCTTCTCTGTGGCAGCGGGGAGAGCCCTCGCTGAGGCAGATGCTTTCGGACTTCCCTGCATTGGAGAAAGAAAACTTGGCTGAAGCCGAGATCAGGAGACTGCAGAAACAGTTTGGGATCACGGCGAAGAGGAAATCTTACGGTGCCAACATGAGGCCACGAGCGCAGGCTCAGGAGTGAGTGTGTCTCCTTCTCTGGAGATATTCAAGACCCGCCTGGACAAGGTCCTCTACAGCCTACTGTAGGTGACCCTGCTTCGGCAGGAGGGTTGGACTAGATGACCCACAGAGGTCCCTTCCAACCCCGAACATTCTGTGGTTCTGTGATTCTGTCTTTGCTCGGCCATGTTGCGCTTGGGAAGCTCCTCCACACCAAGATCTGGGGACGCCGGGGCTGAGACGGGGAGGGGTAAGGACCTGACCCGGTTTTGGGGGTGGGATGTGCTAGCTGTCATTTGTTGTTCCATTTCTACAGGAAAGAAATAGAGTCGCTGACTCAGGAACACAAAGAGATGTCGTTAATGCTGAGCCAGATCACATCCCTGAGAAATGCGACGCTGGATGAGAGGAACTGTGCGGAGCTCCAGTGCCTTTTGCAGACCAAATATCAGTACGATGCTCTGATTAGAGACAGAAAAGCCCTGTTGGTTGACCTGGACAACCAGGTAAGAGCATCTGAACTGTTCCCTGGCGTGGTAGAGCAAAGCCAAGCCACAGAGTGAGCCCCGTGGCTGAAACTCCTCAATGTAAAATGCATTGAATTCAGGCCTTGGAATCTAATGCTGCCTCCTGGCAAAAGGCGCAGGACAAAGACAGACAGATAGAGCCAGGCTCCCGTTCAAGTCAGCAGCAGTGGCTAGGAAAGTGAGGTCGGACTCTCAACCTTGTCCCATCGGTCTCTGCAGCTCCTCTCTGATGGCACAAACGTGCCTGGGGTCACATAATGCCCCTCCGCTTTCCCATTGACTTTTTTATTCTCCTCAAAAAGAGGCAAAAACGGGACATTTAGTTGTGCTGACTGAGACAGAGCAAATAGAAGAGCAGCAACATCTGAGGGATGTCCCACCACTTCTCCTGAGGACAGCCCGGTTGGATTTGGTCAGCAGCGGGGTGGGAGGCCAAGGACAACCCAGTGCTACAGAAGTGACAGGTCCCTGCAGCTTTCTGCTCTGAACAAGCCACCCGTGGCAGAAGTCAGGGACCGTGCCGGGTGGTTCACAGCTGCCAGAGGTGCTGCAGAGCTTTCCGCAGCGGGGTCAGCTTGCTTTCGATTAGGAATCTCTCGGCTGAGCCATACCTCTCCCACCTGCCCCCCACTTCATTGTTCTCCAACTACTTCATTCTTTTCATGGATTTATTTCCTCTAGCACCTCCCCACTTCTGGCAAAAGTTTTCCTTCCCTCATTCCCAGGGAGGACGGCACAGATCCCCACCTGGCCAGCACGGTATCACTACCAACAAACCATCCTCCTTGCCCCTTCCCCTCTGCACACAGCACTGCTGTGCCTTGCTCAACACCTGCTGAACTCCCCTCCAGAGGAGCTGCGTTTCCTTCATGGCATGAAAATAAACCCATTCCTAGCTACAGCTGATGTTTCTGCGTGTGCAGGATGGGATCCTTTGAGATTAAAGCTGCTTCTATACCTGTGAGCTCATTAATGACACGGTTGCTGTAGTTCGGGTCAACTGAGGGTATTTTCTTTGGCCAACTGCCCTGTCAAGAGTCCAGAACGTCGGGGTGGAGATTATACTTAATTTTTTTTTTTTTTATTTCTTCTGTATCTGCAGATACTAGAGCTGGAAAAAAAGGTTGTGAGGCAGAAGCAGATAGCGGCGAAGGTGGAGCAAGCAAACAGTAGCAAACGACTGCAAAAAGAGATCGAGACACTGGAGCTGCACCTGAACAACGTAAGCAAACGTTTTGCAGACCTTTGGAGACCACGTGCGGGGCCGCGCTGGGGCCTGGGTGCAAAACGCTTTTTGATCAGGACAAAGGGTAGTGGTGCAAATGCATTTGGTTGCCACAAGCTGCAGAAAGGACCTGGCTTGCTCTCCTGGCCCGATTGCTGCCAGAATATCTCAAAGGCGCCCTCAAGCTTGCTGACCCAACTGCAGCACTTATGCCATGCCAAGAAGCCTGAAGGTCTGCACCTGCTTAGTGATCAAACCAAGCTGCCCGAAGCCACCTTGCCTTGGACAACGCCGGCTCCAGGTCTCTGCCGTGGTCGGCCTGGCCTGCTGTTGCCTCCCCTGTCTTGGGGAGGAGGATGGTGCAGGGCCAACTCCAAATCTCTTGGGCTGTGTTTGTCCCTGCCCTGGTCAAGGTTTTTCAGCAGAGACCTGAGCCTCCCAGTCCTACACCAGCTTCAAACCTTTTGCTTCCTTCTCCCCATATCACTGTCCGTTTTGATACCATCCTGACCAGAAATAACAAGCTCCGAGAAGAGATCGAAAGCATGTGAATCCAGAAAGCCATTTTGGACAACTTCTACTTGAAGGTCCATGAGAAGCTGGGTCAGCAGACGAGAAGGATGAACGCTGCCGTTGAGCGATCCGCCCAAGCCTACGAGCAGCGGTACGTGGCCTCGCGAACCCTCCGTGGCAAACTCGGCACCGACGGGCAGTGCCAGTGACGAGCAGCGATGCCAAGAGATTGCAAGTCCAGAGAGAGAGAGGGTTGTCCGCTTTTGTCTAGAGCTGGGTGCTAAGGGTTAGGTGGCTGGTCAACGCAGGGAGACTGGTCCCTCCAGGGTGAGTTACTCCACCTATCCCAGATGTTTCTTGGGATGGCGTGAGTTGCTCCATGGAGCCATCTCTTTGCTCCGAGTCCCAGCTGAGCCCATGGAGGGGGATGCAGCAGACCTGGAGCAGAGGCCAGCCAGCTCAGGTCGAAGTGAGCCTGGCTGCCACAGCTGGATGCTGTGTCCAAGTACAAAGCCCCACCAAGAGCGATGCTGGCTTGCTGCTGGCCTTGGGCTAACGCAGCTGTGTCTGGGTGAGAGCCGGGCAACACGCACAGCATCACGGGGGCTTTCCTAGATGGGCACGGAGGTACACGGGAATGGCCAGGAGTACGAATCCTTGTACCTACGCATGGTGTAACCTACTGCTCTCTGTGCACAGGACGGAGGTTCTGGAAAGGATCTCAGCCATTAACGAAAGGCACAGTGAAGACACCGTCCAGTACAATGTCGAGCTGCAGGAGCGGGAGCGCGTCCTTGACCAGGAGACCACGCTGAAAGCCTTCGTGGTCACCAAACATACAGATCGCTCTGAACTGGAGGAACAGGCCAAAAAGAAAAAACGTATCGGATGAGAGAAACCATGTGCAGCTGGGACCGCAAACCAGGAGTCTGTGGGGCTGGCAAGGGGGCTGCTTGCAGCACTGCACCCCAAGGGCAGGACCTCTCCCCATGCCCGCAGGCTCCTTCACCCCGCCTTTGCCCTACAGCAGAAGAGGATGAATGGTGATAACCGTGGGAGGCCACCCAGAACTACACGTCTTGGGGTGTCCTTGGGGCAGAGGGAGGGATGGGCAAGCAGGGAGCTGCCTCCGTGCGCAACCATGGCTGCTTTTGTCCTCCCGGGGAGGGATCCCGCTGTGCTTGCCCCATTCTCATCCAGACTGCGAGCTCCTTGCTAAATTTCTGAGGGAAATAAAGACACCTTCTGCTCCCCGTGCCCCAACCACCCCGCCAACCCCCTCTGCAAAGGGCAGCCCGGGGGGATATGCGGAGCCTGGGCTCTCCGTCTCGCCCTCAGCCTTGAAGGCAGCCGAGCAAGCGAAGTGGACCCAAGGGGAGAGCTTCGAGAGCTGGGAGGTGGCTTACAAACACCTGATGGAGCTGGTGGAGGATGGGGATGTCGACCAGCTGGTGAATGGCTTCATCGAAAAGGAGCAGAAGAACTTCTCCTGCTTCAGCTACACCATCGAGCTGAACAACGAGATGGAGAAGATGCAGCAGAAGATCAAGGCCCTCGAGGTCTCTTCCAGGCTCTTCGTGTCTCTAGTTCCTCAGCTGGTGCTTTTGGGCTGGAGTGGGGTTTTCCTCTCCCATGTGTCCAGCATCCCTGCCCACATCAGAGCCCAGCTCACGGTCTGCCACACGGGTGGGACTGGGGGGGAATGCAAAGAGGCTGCCGAAAATAGAACTCGGATGGGCAGAACGCTGCCTTCTCGGAGCTAAACGTGTCTCAATGCTGCCACCGCGTACCCAGCAAAAATATTGCAGCGTCCAGGAGTGCCAAGAGCTGCCTGGGCCATGTGTGGGGCTGGCTGCATGGTCCCCGAGGGGTCGAGCGGGGTGTCCCTGCTCCCAGGGTGGAGGGGTGGGCCCCAGCCTCCACCAGGCATTCAGCCAGAGCCCCCTCCATGCACTTGTGTTTCCACAGATCGAAATTTCAGCCCTCGTGATGGACTGGGAGTGTGCAAAGAGCAGCAGCCTTCACGTCCTGAAGGAGCTGGAGGTGTGGTGGCTGGGATCTCCCCCTGCAAGGACAGCAGACCCCTGCCCATCCCGGCACGTGTCCTAGGGAGTCTGGTCCTGCCAACAGCCGGAGGGGCGTGGGTAGAAGAGGGCTGTGCGTCGGCTTTGGCCACCCCGTCTCCTGAGAGATCCCGGGGCGTGGGGAGGGGGTGACTGCAGGTGTCCTGCCAGCCCTGGTCCTCCAGCACCCGGGGCCTCGGCTGTGGCACGGGGAGCTTGGGATCCCCTTCCCAGCCCCTTTCTCCTGCAGGGACTGGAACATCCCGCAGCCTCTCCCAGGATGTCTCCAGTGTCCAGAGTGGAAGTGGCCGGCACCAGGGTGGTGGGGAGAGCAAGGGGCTGGTGTGACACCTGGCAAAACCTTTGCTGATAGGAAAAACTAATGGAAACCATTGACGAAGCCAAGTGGTATGAAGAGAGATGCAAGGAGAGCAGCAAAGTCCTGGGCCAGGTCAAATCCAGCATGGAAGGTCTGTTCAGAGAAGTCAGCTGCAACGCCACGAAGATAATGAAGCAGCTTAGAGAAAAGGGGCAGGTCACGGATCTGAACCTGATGCAGATTTTCGGTGGGTCAGGGCTGCCCATCTTCACAGAATCACAGAATCCCAGCATGGTAGGGGTTGGCAGGGCCCTCTGTGGGTCATCTAGTCCAACCGTCCTGCCAAAGCAGGGTCACCTACAGTAGGTTGTAGAGGACCTTGTCCAGGCAGGTCTTGAATATCTCCAGAGAAGGAGACTCCACAGCCTCCCTGGGCAGCCAGTTTGTGCCCTTTGCCCCTTGTCCTGTCGCTGGGCACCACTGGAAAGAGTCTGGCCCCATCCTCCTGACCCCCACCCTGCAGATATTTAGAGGAATTTCTGAGGTCCCCTCTCAGCCTTCTCTTCTCCAGGCTGAACAAGCCCAGCTCCCTCA